GAGGGGAAGACCCTCTATGAGATGGATTGATTCAGTGACTGGGGTAATCGGGATGGGGGTGTCAGAGGTAGTGCAATTGGCACAGAATAGAGCAGGGTTTAGGGCTGTTGTAAATAGGGTCGCTATGAGTCGCAAGTGACTCGATGGCACATAACAACAACAACAACAAGTATTACCTATGTAAAACTCAGGAGTCCTGTTGTGGGTTACATGTTGGGCTGCTAACGGAAAGGTTGGCAGTTTGAGCCATCAGCTGCTCAAAAGGGGAAAGATGAGGCAGTCAGCTCCCAGAAAGATTTAATAGCTTTGGAAACCAGTGGAAAGTCCCCATGAATTGGAACTGGAAGTGACACTGGGGCAACGGATTTTGTGTTCATGCAATATTTGTGCTTTATCTGGTATTTGAAACTTTTCCACTTCTAAATCTGGCAACCCATACACTAGTGCTAATTGTCATAAACATTAAAAATTATCTTCTTGTGAATTTTCAGATTAAACAAACCCATTGTCTTAGGTAGCTAGTGCTCTGTAACAGAAATAGCACAAGCAGGCAGATTCAACAAAAAGAAATTTGTATTTTCCTCACAGTTTAAGAGGCCAGAAGTTCAGGTGCAGGGGGCTAGCCCCAGAAGCTTGCTCTGTCTGCTCTGGATCAAGGACCTGTTCTCTTTTTGGCTTCTATGGCTAGGTATCTCAGTGGGTCATCTGGTTTATATCTGTTCCTCCAGTTGTGTTTGCCTGACTTCTTACTTCATCTCAAAAGATATTGATTTTTTTTTTAAAAGATATTGATTTAAGGCTCCCATACTAATGCTACCTAAGTAGAAACTGTTCCTAAAAGGATTATAAGCACAGGTAAAGAGATTAGAATTTATCACATATATTTGTTGGGGGGATACAGTTCAATCCATAATGCCCATATTCAAAACAGTGAAAGGTGAACAGAAGCATAAATGTGAATAAAAGAACTCTAGGCAGGAGGACTCCTACCCTTTGAAGACTCACTATGGTTCTATAGCTGAATACACAGTTCTCTGCATCACATTTACACCCACGTGAGGAGCAAAAAGAAATCAAAATACTGACCCTAACTGAGAGTAACAGATTTCAGCAGATTCCTGGAAATTCTCCAGATGAATAAGATACTTCTATCAGTGATATTTCTTTTCCAATAACTAACAAGGTTTGCCCCTTTCACAGTTCGCTCAATAAAAAAAGAAAACCATCTGCTGTTTTAACCCAACAACTTGTCAAAATGTCTTCCATGGTATTGAAAAAAAAAATCAAGAAATGACAAAATTTTTCAGTGGATTTTAGAGTTGAGATTTATAATAGATAAGTACCAGGCACAGATAACTACTACACGGTTAGCTAAACGAACCTAACTGATGCAGTAGTGTGATAATTTATTCTTATCAACAGCCCTTTAATTCTGATGAAATATTATGAATACAGCTAAGCAGCGTTAAAAATTTCAAATCCTATTTTTAATAGATGGCATGCAGAAAAACACAGATTTCTTCCCCTACAACATTTACGGGAGAGGGAAGTTTTCAATCAACAATCAAATTATAACTGCTCCAATTTTCTCATTCCTGCTCTAGGTTGTTCTCCGGTCACATACTTGAAAGTTTTCTGAGACAAAAGAAGTGTATAACAGGTGAATTTTCATTTTCTACAAGACTCAAAAACTTTCACAGTAGAAACTCTAGAAGGTTTCGGTGGAAGTTAAAACCTACTAACTTGAGATAAGTGTAAAAGGTCATATAGATCAATCTAAATACTAACTTAGAATCAAGTAAAAAGTCTTGAGAGATTTATAGAAAACCTAGTAAACTTGTTATTATAAACTTTGTTATTTTAGACTCTACATAGGTAAATAAATCACACTCTTTGGTAGCCTTGGAGGAGTGAAAAGATGATTGAATATATATTTTTTGTTATTGCTATTGCATCTTCTTATTCAGTTGAAGTTTGTGGTCAATGATCTAATGAAGACTAAATATAGTCTGAATTTCACATTTAGAGGATAATATTTAGGCTGAATGGGTAATGAACACTAAAAAGAAGAAAATTAAATGCGAGCAAACAGATGAATGTAAAATTTTTTATCCTATTTTTTAAACTTTTTATTGCACAGTTTAAAACATCAGTAAATTACTAGAGATTTTCAAGGTACACTTGAAAAACACAGGAACCTTCCCTTTCTCCTCCATTTCTCTCCAAGTATACAGCCTAGGTCTTCATTGCAATTATTATGACTTATAATTACAGGTATATGTTAATATCCATTTGGGCAATAGCTAACTGCACAGACATCCATAGTCCCGTAAGATTTTTGTCTCTGTGTTGTTTTTTTTTTCCAATGGAGAAGCAGTTCTTTTGTTTATTTCATCCTCATGGTTTTAAGGAAGCTCTGGTGGTATATTTTAGAGTTGTACTATGAAACCAAAGGCTTCTCAACTCTGGCAGAGGCTCTGAGGGTGAAACACAGACAGTCTTCCAGTATTATTTACAGTCTCAGAAACCCTACAAAGGGTCTCTATGAGTTGGAACCAAGACTCTTGCTTGTAGCCCTGGATCACAGATGAATTAATTATTGTCGAGTGAGGCAGAGGACATGACTGTGAGTGATGATTTAGATTTCCAGACTGCTCCTGCTGCTTATGCAGGCATAACAGTGAATGGGACTAGACACTATTAATTCCCCCCCTCTCCTCTCTACTCTGGTTTTTTAGTTGCCACTGCTAAGTACTGTTCCTCCAGCCTCAGTCAGCAGCTCTAGGAGTAGGAGTAATGATACAACTGGAGGCAGGCTTCTATAGGGTTTTTTGTTTGTTTGTTTTTTAATATGGAGTGCTTCACAAATTTGCATGTCATCCTTGCGCTGGGGCCAGGCTAATCTTCTCTGTATCTTTCCAATTTTGGTATATGTGCTGCCGAAGTGAGCACAGGCTTCTGTAGGTTTTTAATATGGTGTTCGTATAATGTGTAAGTCACCCAACATCCTATTTCACAGATACGATGGACATTAAGAAATGCATATCTGTATGTTCTTGTACATATTCCCTGCCTTACTCCTCATCCAGTACTATTTTTTACTAATTCAATGTTATTGTTAAATGCCATGACATTAACTATGGCTCATAACGGCCCTATCAATAGATTCAAACTGCTCTATCATGTGCCATCCTTATTATCTCTGCCGTTCTCTTATGACACTACTTCCAGCTTCCTGTCTTTTACTAACCATTTGCTTTTCTAAGAATGGTGTCTTTTTCCCCAGGGACTGGTGTCTCCTTACAACATGCCAATGTATGTGAGACAAAGTTTTACTTTCCTTGCCTCTAAAGAGCATTCTGGGTACACTTCCTCCAAGAAAAATTTGTTTGTTCTTTTGACAACTCATGATTAGTCAGTACTTGCTCACCAAAACCGTAATTTATAGCTATCTATTCTTCTGTTTTCCTTATTAACTATCCAACTTTTATAGGCATATGAATCAATTGAAAATACTATACCTTGGTTCAGGCACACTTTAGTTTTTAAACTGACATCCTTGCTCTTTAGTACTTTAAAGAAAGTGACCCTTGATAGCAGATTTACCCAATCTAACATGCATTTTGATTTCTTGACAACTGCTACCATGGGTTACATAGTTGCCAATTATGTACAGTGGGCAACTGTAAGAAGTCAATTTTAAGAATATTTCACTTAAATTATATATAACAATTGCACTTAGAACTATCAGATAGTAAACATCTAGTGAGAGGCTTCAATAGTCTATAAAAATGAATATTTTATAGCAGTTAAAGAGTTATTGTTGTTGATTGCCTTCGAGTTGAGCATGACTCCAAGTGACCCTTTTAACAAAACACCTGACGCCCCTCTACAAATAGTCGGTTTTTATCTAAGTTCATAGAGTTTCCAGAGGCATGTGTTTAAGGAAGTGGATGCCACTTCTGCTTCCAAACCTGTCATAGTATGTTATTGTTGCTACATGCCACTGAGTTGCCTGCATGTATAGCGACCCTATGTACCGCAGCTCTGAACCCTTCCCTGGCCTGAACCAGTCTCAGTAATTAAAGACTGGAAACATATATTTTTTTTCTTCTCACTTTCTTTCATGTGATTTCTCTTGTCTACCTTCTTCCAACAGAAAAAAAGTAAGCTGTATATGATTTGTCTTAGGAGCTCTGGAGGCTTAGTAGGTAAGGAATTGTGCTGCCAATCTAAAGGCAGACAGTTCAAATCCCCTAACTGCTCTGTAGGACAAAGATGGGCAATCTCTTCCCAGGATTCACCAACCCTGAAATCCAAAAGATGGTTAGTTATGAGTTGGTTCAGATTTGATGCAAATGAGTTAATGAGTAAAGAGAAAGTTAGAAGAAATTGTTAGAATGTATCACTAATCATAGAGAAGAGATTATGTTATTTTGGATGCATGTAGAAGGAAAGCCATTTTTTCAGCTGAATACTTTCTTCTCTAACATCAATAACTAAAATAACAAATTAGGTAGACCTAGCATTGTAGCCATTTATTAGTCAAGCACAACCCACTATGCAGCCAAATCTGCCAGAAAATGCACTGCTATGATAAACTCTTACACTGTCAGTA